CTGAACCAGGACTGAACCACGACTGAACCAGGACTAAACCAGGACTGAACCAGGACTAAACAGGACTGAACCAGGACTAAAACAGAGCTGAACCAGGACTGAACCACGACTGAACCAGGACTAAAAAAGAGCTGAACCAGGACTGAACCAGGACTAAACCAAGACTAAACCAGGACTAAACCAGGTCTGAACCAGGTCTAAACCAGGACTAAACTAGGTCTAAACCAGGACTAAACCAGGTCTAAACCAGGTCTAAACCAGGTCTAAACTAGGACTAAACCAGAACTGAACCAGGACTAAACCAGGTTTAAATCAAAACTAAACCAGGCCTAAACCAGGTCTAATCTTGGACTAGAACTTGGAAGCGCCTTGAAGACAGTAATTGTACTTGTGTGTATTTCAGGAGCAGTTCATGGACCCTGTACTGTAGTAGTAATAGTACTTGTGTGTATTATAGTACTACTACTACTACAGCTTCTGATCCAAGAACATGCAGTACAGGGTCTTACACAGCTCCATGAACTGCTCCTGAAACACAAGTACTACTACTACTACTACAGGTGTATGCAGTACTGTACAGGTGTATGCAGTACTGTACAGGATGTATGCAGTACTGTACAGGTGTATGCAGTACTGTACAGGTGTATGCAGTACTGTACAGATGTATGCAGTACTGTACAGGATGTATGCAGTACTGTACAGGTGTATGCAGTACTGTACAGGTGTATGCAGTACTGTACAGTATGTATGCAGTACTGTACACAGTATGCAGTACTGTATGCAGTACTGTACAGTACTGTACAGTATGCAGTACTGTACAGGTGTATGCAGTACTGTACAATGTATGCAGTACTGTACAGGTGTATGCAGGTACTGTACAAATGTAATGCAGTACTGTACTGTACAGGTATGTATGCAGTACTGTACAGGTGTATGCAGTACTGTACATGTATGCAGTACTGTACAGTGTATGCAGTACTGTACGTATGCAGTACTGTACTGTACAGGTGCAGTACCTGGTTCATTCGGGGCAGGTCTTTGATGCTCTCTCTCCTCGGCTCGTGCTCTTTGGCCCACTGTCTCAGGTAGAATCGGTAATCCTTCACTTTCTCCTCTGAAACACACACGTCAGGGTCAGACCGGGGTCATACAGAGGTCATACAGAGGTCATACAGAGGTCATACAGAGGTCATACAGAGGTCATACAGAGGTCTCAAAATGTCCGCTGTGATATTATAAAGTCATTTTTAAATCAAACTTCACAGTGCCGCTGAAGCCCGTGTGTGTGTGTGTGTGTGTGCTGGTGTTTACCTTTCTTCTCTGAGTTTTCTCCTTCAGTTTTCCCTTCTGCTGCAAAAACACACAGACAATGTACTGGCTTAAAAAAGGCAAAAACATTACACACAAATAAGAGCCAGTGCACAACGAGATGCGGAAAAAGAGCCACAATATTTTCTGAGTGTCGCTCGTAAACCCACCTCCTCCTTAAAGAACACACATTCTGCTTAAGTATAGTTTTAATCTTTAACTTTTGACATTTTAAAATCATAATATTGATCTTAAAATGACAACAAATCCACTGACTTCTACTTTTTTTTTTCTCATTTGTACCAAAATGAGTACGCAAACGCTGCCAAATCCTAAAAGCGTATCACCGAATAAGAAAATAAAACTAGAGAACGAACCATGTAGAGCGTTGATCTTGAAAATATGTGGTTAAAGTTTAATCAAACANGCCGGAAGAGGCCCCATGCTCACTTCCTATTTGACAGCTCTGTCCATTTGTATACGGCCTATGGTGATTCCTCACTTACCTTATGACCAGAGTGGAGTTTTGCATTTACAGCGATATTCCTCTAACCAGACTGTTGCCACCTAATGCCTTCGCTCAATTTCATTTCTCTCCAGCGACTAGGTCAGGAATCAGAATACACTAGACGGTTTGCAAGAACTTCAGAAGTGTGAGTTCGGGCACCAGCCAATCAGCAAAGAGCCATACATTCTGTGTTGGCAACGATTCCCGAGATCGAGGATTTAAAGCCGGAACAAAGAGAATGTTTGGTGAATTTTATCAAGGGGAAAAACGTTATTGTTCTTCTTCCTACGGGATTTGGGAAAAGCTTAATAGACCAGTTAGTCCCGGTAGCGGTGCATTACATATGTCACGACCAAATAGGAGCAATTGGTTAAATTTAAAAAAGTACCCGCCTACCGTAGAGCGAATGAATCCTAATGCTGCGGGGTCAGACGGTTTCCACAAAGTGAAACTGGCTGATGAATAAGGCTAATATTCCTCATTCTCTGACAATAATTTAATAAAGCTTTATGATTAGATGCAGACAACACACAGTGAACTCAAAAGCTGCTGATAAGGATTATTAATCATTCAATAGATATAAATATTTAGTTCTGAGTTGTAAACTTTTCATAACTGTAAAACCTGTGAATATGATTGAACAATTCAGAAAAAAAAAAAAGTTTTTAGTAAAAGTGATTGTGTTGTGATTTGCAATTATTATATGTCTTAAATCCACTTTGAAACATGTTTAATTCTGCTCTACTAGTCGAATATTGATACACAAAGTCCAGGATGTTCAGACACACAAATATACTGTATTAATAATATATGTGTATGTTTTGCATAGATAAAGTCATGCAGCTCTTTTACCAGCAGCACACAAAGAATACACTGTGTACTTTTAAATAACTGGTATCAGAGAGGAATTAATTTGAATAACTGAGATATTAATAATCAATTATAAACTCATTTTAATGTCAAAGTACATTAGAATACTTTTAAATTAAACAAAATGGAGAATGGACCTCTGAATCTACCCCTGAAAGACTACAGGGTTAGATTAAATATAAAAATCTATATATAAAATAATAATAAATAACAAAGATACTGAGTGTTTTGCAGAGGTCCAGAGTTGTTTCTGGCTTATCTTAACTATCAACTTTCAGAGGCCAGAGGAGAGTTGTGTGTCACGGTAATGCCAACAACAACAAGCATGCCAACAGCGGAACGGCGAACTTCCTGGTTTCTGGACAATAAAATCACTTTGTAATCCGATGCAGACCGTACACAACAGACTTATTCTGACCCTAAGAGCTGCTTTTACCATGTATCTGTACTGGGGCAAAACAAATTTTACTTTTATTTATAATTTCATGTATTTGTTTATGTTCTCCTTTAGGCCAGAGGAGCTGCCCCCAGTGCTGACCTTGCTCCCAGACAACATCCTTCAGGTTTTACGTCACCAGCTGCTTCAGTGCGTCCAAAAGGCTTCAGACGGTCTGGAGCCAGAGCAGCAGAACCTCGCTCTGCTCCTCCTCAAGTTCCTCATCCTCGTGTGCAGGTCGGAAAGCAAGAAGAACTGACAAAGAATGGAATAAAATAGGATGATAGATTACTTAATTTGTAATTTTTATGTTTCCTTCACAATTCATTGCACCAGTAGATGTAGTAAAAGTAGAATAGCTGTTGTTTCAGTCAAAGGGTTTCTTCTGGAAGGTCTTCTGTCACAGTAGAGCCACATTCGCACATGCAACTTAAATTTATCTGCATTTTCCCAGAAAAGGATCAAAGCCAAACTGATTTCCCTGCATTTTTTTCACTGGAAAATTACCAAAGTTGGGGAAGGCTAAACTGAGCTGGAGGAGAATTCTGCAGTGGAATTTGTGGTTTAAGTGTCAGATTGCAGATTTGTTGACCTGGTTTATGGTTAATATCTCTGTCATTACTCGGCCTATCCACATGAAACAAAAACTGGCACAAAGTTCAGCGTCTTCTCTGTCAGTATAAAAAGCAAAAGTGTTATTCAGCCCCAAAGATGTGAATGTTGTTGGTTGAAAGGAATACTAAAGTTCACTCTGGATATTTCCTCCAAGAACAGTGAATCTCCTATAGAGTTACCAGATAAGAAAGCAATTATAATGTCTTTTTTTTTTTCTTCTTACAGGAATTTGTCCAATGTGGAGGAGATCGGCACCTGCTCCTACATCAATCACATTATCAACATGACCACCCTTTACATTCAGCAGGTTTGATATCAGTTTTGTACAAAGACTAACTGAGATAATAATAATAATCCGTCAAGGCTCAAGTAATGGATTTTAATTACTTGTTATATTCTGTTATCATGATACATTGTACTTTCTCAATCTATGCTTCTACTACCTAATATTATTACCTACGAGTTATTCTATAGAAAACTGTGACTAAACCAGGACTAAACCAGTTCTAAACCAGGACTAAAACAGAGGAGTAAACCAGGACTAAAACATGACTAAAACATGACTAAACCAGGACTTAAACATGATTAAATCAGGACCAACCCAGGGCTAAACCAGGACTAAAACATGACTAAAGCAGGACTAAACCAGGACTAAAACATGACTAAAGCAGGACTAAACCAGGACTAAAACATGACTAAAGCAGGACTAAACTAGGACTAAACCAGCAGTAAACCAGGACTAAAACATGGCTAAACCAGGACTAAACCAGCACTAAACCACAACTAAAATACAACTACAACATGACTAAAACAGGACAAAACCAGGGCTAAACCAGGACTACACCATGGCCAAACCAGAACCAAAATAGGACTAAACCAGGACTAAACCAGGACAAGTGTAAATACATCCTAGTTTTGTGTTTTGTGTCTAGTTTTGCTTCGGTATCTTGCCTGCTGTACTAACTAATCATTCTGCAAGTACACAAAATTAATGATTCTTAAAGCTGAATCAAATTTGTGTTGGTTACAGTTGAAAAGTAAGACCAAAGAGAAGGAAATGGTGGACCAGAGCCAGGCTGAAGAGTTTGTCCGTCACGCTTTGGCTTTCTGTGAGAGTCTGTACGACCCATATCACAACTGGAGGCACCGGACCAGCGGGTAACTCAAATATACCATAAGACTGCAGCTGCATGATCAAATATTAATGATAGCTGCTTTTATGAACGTATATATATCTTAGACTGCTGTGTTTTGATTTTCAGGGAGCAGGTTGGGACGGTGGAGCGGAGCAGACAGAAGTACAAGGCAGCACCTCTCACTGTGGAGTTTGTTCCTTTCTTTTATCGTGAGTCTATTTGTGTCTGATTTCTGTTTATTTTTCTTGTATTCTTTACGCAAGACAACATAATCAAAATAAATTATTTAACTGTACTGTGATTACAAGCGAGCCAGATGTAATTATATTAAAGGCGCTCTACTTTACTTTACTCTCTTAAAATGTGAAAAACAGAAATAGTTCATCTTTAACGGTTTGTATAAGTCCAAAGTTACTTACATTATGCCTTCTTAGCATCCTAATTATGCTCCGTAGCATATATGTAGTAATGGAGACAGTAACTAGCATGCTAACTGGGCACATCCTGACAGTAAAAATGAGTAAAATGCTTTATAATTGACAGATTGATTCGTTTTTATTTCGAGTTTGTGCCAAGAGATGAACAATAATTATGTATACTAAATATACATTGTAAACAACAGAAAAGCACATTTCTCGAAAAGGAAATTAAAGAAGACTTTTTTTTTTTAACCTCAAGAGCTCGTTATACAATATATCTGTACTGGGGGGGATACACATTTTGCTCAGATACATGGAAAAAACCCGGTACAAGCTCTTAAATATTGTTTTGAAAATGTTAACAAGTAAAAAATATGCAGCTACATGCGTGAATGAAACAAAAGACTATTCCTAAGATGTTTTGACGACACTTGAGCATAATATAGGATCTTTAAAACACAATTAGAAACACTTGTCTTACCTCTTGACTCGACGAGACCTGCGTTACGACTCGGTTTTTCAATTATAGGTTTTTTAAATGTCTCTTTGTTGTGGTATGATTGGTATGAAGGAAAGAGACATTACGGAGCCAACACAGGGCATGGCTTGTGCCCATTCGAGTGTGTTGACAGATGAGTTAATAGATGACCAAGACTATGACCTGGAGGTTACTGCCACATACCATTCTCCTCTATCTGAGTATCTAGTCTTAAATATCTAAACAAAGTGCTACAAGCGATGGGACAAGGTCTTGTGAGGTAAAGTTGTCTCAAGATTGTGCACACATGATAAAAAAATTACGGTGAGATTCTTTAACCCAGGGGTCCCCAACCCCTGTGTCGTAGGTCGTTTGGTACCGGGCCACCAAAGTGCAAAGCCCCCCTCCCATATGCATTTCTAAACCAGAACTAAACCAGAACTAAACCAGGACTAAACCAGGACTAAACTGGGTCTAAAACCAGGTCTAAAACCATAAATAAACCAGGTCTAAACCAGGACTAGCCCAAGTCTAAATCAGGACTAAACCAGGACTAAACAAGAACTAAAACAGGACTAAAACAGGATTTAGCCAGGACTAAACCAGGTCTAAACCAGGACTAAACCAGGACTAAACCAGGACTAAACCATGCCGCACCGCCGCAGCCCCTGGTTCGCAAAATATTGTCGGACATTAAACCGGTCCATGGCCCTAAAAAAGGTTGTGGAGCACTGCTTTAACTGATTTTTTATCCAATCCAAAATGGTTAATGCTGGAGAGTTACACCTCTTAAGAAGCTATAGTTATATTTTTATTATATTAAATCAAATAAATCTAAAATTGTGAGGGCAAAATTGTGAACTTTATTGCTGAATTAATTACACATAATGTCAAAATCTTGTCTCTTGTCTTGTAAAAATTAAGCACTATTGTTTACTAGAGCTGGAATGGACTATAATAGTGTTGTCTGCATCTAATTAGTAAGCATTTTGTTGTCTGATGTTCAGGAAGTGCACGTTAGCATCCCAGTTGTTGGCTTTAATAGGTATGTCTTGATAAGAAATTTGGAAGTGCTACATATTGCTGAAGAAAATATAGACAATAAATAATAATAAAACACAGTCTGCAATAAATAAATAAAAGAATAAAACACATTAGTAGTTAGTTTGTGTCTATAATGAGTATTTTTAGTTATTTATTCAACCGTCACCTAATTGTAGAACAGAAAAATAACAAAAACTTCCCCTACAGAAACTTCCCGTGATAAATATTGACCCTCCAAAATTATTGTTCCATTTGTCATGTATTGAACAGTAAGTCAATATAGTAATTATCGTGACCTAGTTGTGAAAAGTGCTTATAAACTCATCATGGTGATTAATTAGGATGCTCTGAACGCATAAGGTAAGTGAGGAATAACTTTGGACCACTGCAAACCTTTTAAAATAGTTCTGTTTTTCACTTTTTAAGACCGTACAGAGTCTTTAGTATCATAATCCACTGAATAGGTGTGGCTGTATTTTGTTTTCCTGCTTTGTTTACATAGATAACACCGCACCTCCAGATCCTCTCAGTGCATCTCGGTGTTTATGTTATGGCCTGTGTTCCTGTTACAGAGTGCTTCCAGGAGAGTGAGCATCTGAAGGAGAGTTTAAAGTGCTGTTTGCTTCACCTCTTTGGGGCCATAGTAGCAGGAGATCAGGTAAGAATATAGGTTAAGTTCGTTCAGTTTATGCAAGAAAAAGGCAACAAAAATAAGTGGCTCAAATGTCTGGTTACTAAGGCTGGGTATTATTAAGAAGTTGCCAAGTACGATACTATACATATCTCGATACAGTGAACTTTCAATTTGATACGATATATTTAAAATCAATTCGATATGGTTCAATAAAAAATAAAGTCTAATCATGGCTGTGGTACAAAAAGTGTTTGTTAAACCACTTCTTGTGCAAAGTGAATATGAAACACAAACATTTTATCCTCAAAACATTGAAAATGTCAAATGTGTCGCATGAAAAAAGTTTCCTTCCTCTGAACAAACAAAAACGTAGAAATGTACCAGAATAATTGTGTGTGTGTGTGTTATGTGTGTGTGTGTGTGTGTGTGTGTGTGTGTGTGTGTGTGTGTGTGTGTGTGTGTGTGTGTGTGTGTGTGAGTGAGTGTGTGTGTGTGTCTTGGATATCTGTACAAATATGGACAGGGCTATGTCTTAGGAACAAAAGGATGCACCTCTTTTAATTGATTTTTAGAGGGCTTTTTCAGAGGGCTTCATTTTAAAGACACCCTGAAAATCAAAGTGAAATAATGCTGTAGCAGGCTAGTCCATTTTGCCTAAATTTAATTTGTGCAGCTCAAAATGCTTCTCGGTATCTATGAAGTGTGTTTGTGATTGTTTGGACAGAAACATTCACACAGTGTCCTGCTGGTGGTTATTCTGTAGGACACAGGCAGAGCTCAGCCTGTTCCTCCTGCACAAAGGAGCAGATCTGGGTCCTGCTGATGGGTTGAGGAACTTCTACAGCCCTGTCCAGTTCTCCTAGAGTAACTGCCTGTGTCCTGAAATCTCCTCTGTATTCTGGAGATTGTGCTGGAGACACATTAAATCTCTCTGTAAAGGCATGCCTGCAAGAAGTTGGACAATCTGTGCAGCTTCTGTAAGGTCAAGGAATGGCCTCATCCTCCCAGTAGAGATGATCACTGTCGTCAAAGCAGCACTAGTGAAAAAAAAAAAACAGCCAAAAACACCAAGAGAGAGTAACTTGCAATGAGCTCCATATGTAAAAGCAGTTCTGTTTGAAGGCCTGTGTCATTGGTGTCACTCTTGTTCACCTGTTGAACTCCATTATGTTAATGTTTCAGGCTGATGCTTTATAATTTAAAGAGTTGTACAGTATAACTATAATGAACTATCCACTGTACAGTATGATTCACTTCCCACACACACAGAAACTGAACTATTGAAAAGAAATTATGCAGCACAGCTTGTTGGAAACATACTTTCCGAACATTCCTCCTCGTAATAGAAAGGTGCTGAAATAGTCAGACCTGGTGAAGGACTGGAGTGAAGGAAAAGAGTGCTTCTTCTATTTCACGTGTGGAAATATATTGTGAATTAAACAAAATACACGACCAGTCAAACGTTGGGACACTACTACTACTGGGTCCGGTCAAGTGGTAACGGAGGGAAACAGGGGCAGATTTTTGACATTCAAATGTCTCTTATTCAGAAACTAGAGGGACTATTGAAATAAGTAAAGTATCAGAATGTAGGAAAGAGTTACACTCCAACAGGGTCAAGTTAAACCTGTGATATTCTTTCAAGTTGTTGACAAAAAAATTAAAAACTCATGTTGGTAACGGGGGGAATGAAATATGCAGCACTTTTTGGGCAATAAATCCAAACAGTGATAACTCTTGGTTCTCACTTACATATCCTTAACCCTCTCCAGGCAGGCTTTGCAGATTTGCAACAGTTAAATTCCAATTACCTAAATACTCCACATCCATACTTTATGAGCTTTTTTCCCATCCATGCTGATAAGAAGAGAGAAGAGAAGTGCAAAGTACTTTTGTGCTTTATAAAGGATAAAAATTGTTTCTTGGGGCACCACACGAAAAAGTGATGTTGTTCTGCCGCTGTAAAGCTGTTACACTGTGCTTTTTGTTTTCATTGTTATAAAAAGTGGTATACACATAAAGTTAGTGTTCATATCATTTTCAGTCTTCTTCTTGTTAATTTACCACACCGGACCAATGCTGCAACATCCCAGAATGCACTGGATCTCAAAAAAAAGTCAGGATTGTATATTACAACTCCATATGATAATTTTCCCCAAATATCAGATTTTTCCTGATACTAAAACTTAATTTGAGCCTGAGAGGGATAACAAACTGGTTTGAATATTTGCTTCATATAGTTTTCTACCATATGGTACAAGATTAGGTTGAAAAACCTCTTACTTTTTGAGTAATGAGATTTTTTATTAAGAAAGGTCATGGTAACGGAGGGAAAAGTAACAGAGGGAAAATTGTGCAAACAAGTAGAAGGTGCAGGATTTTGCATTTTTTCTTCCGAATACTTTAATATTACTTCAAAATGAAAGGAAACTATTTCTATAAAATATGTCAGTCCTTCCAAGCAAATTTGTATCATTTTAAATACTTTTTTTTTTTTTTTAAATCCTGTACCTTCATCAACAGTTCAAAGATGGAATAACACAAGATATGATGAAATACATCCATTTATTGACATGATTTGCAGGTCTTTGAAATTTGGGAAATAATTTTTGTTCCATGTTTCATACATGGTCTGTTTAAAACATATGGAACTTTAGAACCAAAAATGATACAGAAAAAAGGTCAACAGTTTCATAAACTAGAGTACATATGTATCTGTTCAATACATTTTTATACTGTACTGTACTGTACTGCTGTATACTTCTGCTTGACCGGGCCCATATACATTCTACATTTGAGATACAAAGAGAAGTCTTCACATGTATGAAGTGAGATATATGGAAGTATGTAGTAAAAGGAAAAGTGAAATAACTGAACTAAATGTTTTTTCTCCACCTTTTGCTTTGTCAGGGGCATTGCAAACCCTTGTCCTTCTGTCAGAGAGCTTTATGATGAAGTCTTCTGAAATAGTTTTCCCTTCACAGCTGTGCCACAGGGTCAAGAAATGCAGAGATTGCAAACCAGAGTTCAAAGCAAAGTGTGGAGTAAATTTTTTTGTCTTCAACATTTCACATGTGCCTTTCATAGTTTTGATGCCTTCAGTGAGAATGTACAATGTGAACAAAGAAGAAACATGAAGTGTGCCCTGACTTGATTGGTAGAGTACAAATAAAAGTACAAGGTTTAATGAGCTCAATAAGTCTCCATCAAAAAGAAGGAGTATTACACTTCTGTGGGGTATTAACTGCTGACACGTAACATACTGAGCGAACTGAGAGAAGAATTTTACCTTTTACTATTTTGAAAATGTTATATTTGATGAAAATAACACCCTCCTTTCTCTTTTCTCTCCACACTCACTCCCCTTCAGAGGAATATCTCATTACAGTCAATGTTAGACTTAAACTTACACTCAGACAAACTTTATTGATCTACAAGGGAAATTATTTGCGTGTGCATTTTCCTAATAAAACTACTGTACATCGCATCAGGTTTGTGAAGTTGTAGTGTATTGTTTTGTATCTTGCGCTTGTATATTTATGAAAAATTGCA